ACGAAATGGAGAAAGGAGACGAGAAAAAGACGACTACGCCTTCGCTTATGTCCGAGTCTTTGGAATCGGAAGATCAAAAGGGATGGCCACCAGCAATAGCTTATTTGGACGAAAGCATTCCTGTGTGTTTGATTTGCTTGTGTGCCATTGAAAAGGGAAAAGAAGACAAAGTGCATGCGTTGCTTTTTCAGACCGACTGTCTCGAATGCTTAAGCTACAGGAATTCGGCAGCAAGAATGAAAAGCGCGAAAGTTCCGCAAATTGCTCTGGATAAATTCTTGCAAGCGGCTAGACTCCATTCCCAGATGCATGAGGAACAGACCGCTTTCATGACAGGTCTCAACCGATCCCTTCGAGACGCTTCTGTTAATCGGCTAAAGTGGGATTTGGAAGTTGAAAGAATGAGAAGCCCGTCATTAATGGCCTGGTGGATTCGTGTAAGTTCTATTCTACGGCCCTAAATCCATGAAAATATACAAATTTTTCAGGAAAGAAACCTTGATGTTGCCTTCACAGAACAGATTTCGCGTATATTGGGAGGCAACTGCAACAAAGATGGCCACCAGTCAGAGGAGAAACATTTCAACTAATGACCATTGACCCAACAATTATTGTTGTTGATAAACTTGTTGACTATGTTTATTTATTTACTTGTGCTTAAAACATGCCAAAAAGCAAAACCAGCCAGATAAGAGAATTTCCGACAAAAACTTATTAACTTATTGACTAACTAACAAAATTCCCAGTAAAAAAAATCAACGACCTGAGAGTGAACAACTGAGAATACTCGAAAGGAGACGTATGAGCTTGCTAGCCAAGCAGCTTGCAATAATTTTGTGAAATAGTGGAAGTGGGATTACAGCACTTTTGCTGCGACGGTCTCAAACTTTAGCTAGGTAACAGTTCAGAGTAGAGCTGTCAACCACCTCCACCCCACTTGAAGAGGGCTTTTCGGGTGCTGAACACGCCATACTCACCAGGAAATGCTTCCAAATTCCCCAGGCGCTATGAATGGACCGAGATGATTCAGAAGAGAGTTACAAATACTGAGACCGAAGCTGCTACGTGAACATTCCAAGCAAATCGTGGGCGGTCAAAGTTGACAGGAAGGGTAGCGTCAGTATAGGAGGCGAGCTAATCTAACCGCATCGGCGTTTTTAGTTTTTCCTGAAACAGTACCTATAGGGGTAAACAGATGGCCTGGTCACGAATATGACATTCATTTTTGAGACAGAGGCGATCTGGCGCCAGTTTGGTGCCGCAACTCACTTTTTTACTGCATTTTTTGCATTTCTTGCCAACTTTGACCGCTCACAACTTGCCTAGAAAGGTCGCGTAGCAGTTTTGGTCTACATATCTGTGAATAGTATTCAGTACTCTACCGATTTGCCTGGGTCTCCATCCAAAGTTCCATATGAACTTCGTGGTCAGACTTCGGCATCAACACAGACCTGCAGCAGTCGCCTATGATGCCCGCTCGCCACTAGGCTAGGGGTCATGGAAGCTTGCCGAAACTTCGAAACACAGGTATACCGACCACCCTCCTGGAATCGGCAAGCTAGGTAAGCGATGAGCAGTATACCACATCCTCCCCCCCCCCCGAGCTTTGAGGTAGGAGAGAGTTCGTGACAAACTTAAAGGCAAAGTTCGGGCTCAGACCCACCTAAGAAGCCCTTACCATGGCTAGAAGTGCTGGGTACGCAAGTGCAAAGGTAGCGCCACCTTTCTACATCGAAACGTCACTAGGACCCTAGGCGCCATGGACTTCTAACAGACTCCACCAAACTTAACATGGTCCGCCCACCGTTCGATATCTTGTCTCGTCTGCGTCGTTGATCTGCTATGCTCTCTCTTCTCGGACTTCTCTACCGCTCTCCGCGCTCACATTATCTCTCATCTCCCTGCCGGCCTTTTGAACTTCTCCGCAGCGTAGAGCAAAAGGCTCGTATTTCCTGTGTATTTCACGATTTTTTTCCTTTTTTCTCCACTGGCGGTCCACCTCCCATCCTACTTTCACATTTGAGTGGAATCACCTCATCAATTTAATCCTGATTCTTGCCTTTAAGCAATGAGAACACCATCAACAGCTCCGAAACTTTCAACGAGATAATGATTAACGCCTTCGTTCGACTCTCTACCTACGCATACGAAGAAGAGCGATGGTGAATTAATAAAAAGAAAACGGATGAAAATAATTATCACGAATTCACTGTTTCGGTGTA